CTGCAGTATCATTTTACTTCCCTGTTGTTTTGCTGTTGAGAAGTTACCATGTTACTATTTGTATTTCAACATCCATTGACCTGAATTTAGAATGTTTGGGGTAACCATTAAAATAATTGGGTGGAGATAGGTGGTGAAACCACAGTGTCTTTACACTGATGCTTGAATGCAGGACAATTCAGAAATGCCCAGACATGCATTATTGCAGGGATGTCAAAGTCGAATGCATCAGAGGCCAAAAACACACATTTGCTACAAGTCGAGGGCCAAACTGGTTTAATATTTATTAAAACAAATTAAAAGGATTGCATGTAACCTATTGAACCAAGACCTAACACAGTCACAGTGTACCATATTATATTTGATGATTAAATTAATAATCTAATATTTTTGCATGGCTCTGTCAGTAATTTCAATAATAATTTTTCAACAGACTCAGACAAAACACACTCTCTTTAAAAATAAAACACAAGTCTTCAACAATGAATGATTAAAACAAATTTCTTCTGGCTCTGTGTGGGCCGATTATAATACTACCCTATACTATAAATATCACCCCAGAGGCCAAGATAATGCATTTGTGGGACTTGACTTTGCCACCCATTCATTATTGTATCTCTCAGGGTGAGAAAATGGCAATGGAAAACATTCATATATCCCATGTTTTTCCCTTCAATATTGAGGAATAGAGAATTATGAACAGATGTGGTAAGAAAGAACCAAACAAAAGAGGCTGTTGTAAAGGCTCTGAATGCTGTGGCCTTTCTGCCAAGTCTTATCTTCTGTTCCTCCTCACGTTTTTAAGTCAGTTTACAGGGGAAGGAAGACACAATTCTACAGAACTCTAATCTCACGGGGAACATAAGTGCAGACAGCCAAAGAGTTGTACTAAAACTGACCCAGTAAACACAGTGATAGAGCACAGTATTTTGTTGATATTAAGCACAAAAGTCAATACACTGTGTTTAAAATTAAGACCCTAATTTTAGCCATAGTTACTGGAAGACATGTCAGCTGCAGATGTGGAGCCGCCCCAGTTTTACAAACCCAAAGGAAAGTATGTACTTCTGACTATTATCATATGCATGCAGGGAATTTTACATTCATTACAAAAAACATGACAGACTATGTCAGTGTTCCATAGTTTGAGAAAGATATTCAATTAATTATAAACTCGTACTGTTTCATTTAGTTGGCGTATTGAATTTTGTAATCGAGAAGTTATTAAGCAATTACCGAAACAACTTATGGCCTATAGCTTTAGTGTTTCTTTGAAGGACATATCGGATGAAAGATGGGATTGCTTTCTTATCAGAGTCGAGCACCAACCCGTCATTTATTCATACAGCCATGGGTGCAAACAGCAGTCAATTTATAAAACAAAAGGGGCCGAGTTTGTCTTCGGTGTCTAAGGTGTTTACTGTTACTGATAATGGGGTCACTCTCCCCAGGCGGCATTTACTGTCAGAAGCTCTGCAACCAAAGGAGAAATGTTGTTGCCATTTACGCACTTATTCTTTCAATAAATTGGTTGGCGAGTTCAAGCCAGGTGATTAGCGATGTGTTACTAAAATTGAAGCATACACAGTACATGCACTATCATTAGTATTGATAATGATATTCGCAGGAGAAATCGTGATCCCGCCTAACAAAAAATGATTATTGTTCTTTGTTTTATATATTTCCTGCTTTTTTGAGGCATAATAAAACTCACTTTGAAGCGCTTACATGTTTTGAAGAGCACCCAGATTATTCAATTAATATATTAGTTGTTCAAAACATGGATCTCTGGATAGGGTATCGTTAACTCAAGTCTTAAAGCGCTTAAAGGCCACCCACGGTACTGCAGTCAAAATGATCAGTGGCTACAAAATAATTGTCCTCATAGTCCATACTGTTAACAAAAACCACTCATACTCTCCAGGCATGAAACCCACAGCTTTCACAAATTGTAGTCCTTTTAATCATTGTCTGTAAACCCATGATTTAATCCACCTTAATTAACCAATTAATGTTGTACTCTGGTTGCAAAAAGTATCATTGAGATAGCACCGCTGCAAACAGCTACAATGCTAATGATAGTTTAATTTTTGGTGTGGACAGTTTTTAAGCATGAGGAAAAAGCCAATTTAAAAATTAGCCAAATACCTTTTATGGACATTTGTTCCGACAGGGTCAGCTATCATTTAAGTTTAATTTATCATTATTGTCACTATTAGTGCATCTTACACACTTTGCCCAACTCAGGCAGCCAGGTTAGCTGCTCCAGCCCCCATGTGAGCCAGGCATCCTAGGAGCCGAGCCCCACCCCAGAGTAACCTGGAGGAGAAGACATGAACAGGACATGAAATGTGCACAGGTGATCAGACCGGACACAAATCACCCCTGAAACACGCCCCAAGCGCAGGTTGCCATTGTCTGGACCACCACAACAGCAGCTACCATTCCGACACGTTTACTAAATATCGAAAGCCAATTAGAACTCCAAAAAAATCAATTTAGACCAAATCTCTTACCAAATACAAACCAATTAACCGTACTGCTTTTGAAGGGATAGGGTGTTTCGATCCCATACAAGCCGCCATTTTTGCTGCGACCCAGCTCGGCTAGGGTAAGGGAGGTAACAAAAAAAAACAAGATGTTAAAATGGGAAAGCAAGTATTTAATAATAGGCAAGTACATGATAAGAAGACATACCTCAAAAAGGACACAATACAGGACATAAGGGGGTAACAAAACAAAACCTACACTAAACACTTTACATTAATACACATAGAACTAAACACTAAACCTACTGTACTGCTGTCTCAACAAAAGCGAACTGTCACGTAAAACAAAACCTCAAAGTGACAAAAGAAAGAGACAAACCAAACAAAAGCTACATGGACCATAAGGACTGTCTTTAAGTCACCGTCACCCCTTGTGACAGACACTTTCGTAAGGACTATTTGGCATACCAGCAACACACAGGCTGGCAGCCCCAAACAGGTGTGGAGTGTGGCCTTACTACGTAGGAGAGTGACTCCAGGTACAGCGCTGCTCCTCCAATCAGCACCTGAGTCACGGAATTCTGGGATGTGAGAGGGCCAGTGGTTCTCCAATCACAGGCCAGGGATCTTGAGACAGGAGGGGTTGCCACAGACACACACACACAAAACAAACCATATTCGAACAGGGAGCAATATCCAGGCCCAGGGCCGTAACACACTTTAACACGCTAAATCAGGGGATACCAATGTGAGCTACTGGTAGCTCGCCAGCCTCTTTCAGGTAGCTCCCCAAAGGATATGGAATTTAACAAATGGTCTTGAATTAATACATTTTTAGTCATTACATGTCTATTACAAGTATGAATATAGGGTTATACAGTATTATGGTATAGTTTACATGTGTTCTCCATGTGTGTCAACTCTTGTTGTTATAATTACATAGATTTTTATTACAACTGCAAAAAGGGAGAAGCCCTCTGCCTCTTCTGTTGTATAAAAGTAGCTGTCCGATTGTAAAAGGTTGGAGACCCCTGAGCTAAAGAGATGATTCTCTGTAACGGGTGCCTTTTGGGTCCTCAGAATCTTGAAAAATTACCAAAAATTATTGCATTTCTGAACATTGCATCTGACAAAGGAGTACTGTATTTGAACCTCTGGTAAAATACTGTTTCCCACCTTAGAAATGGAATATCAAATAATACTAGGAATTTGCCATTCATTTTGTTACGGGGTTGAATGTTACGGGGTTGAAGATTCTAGCAAACATGTTAGTACCACATGGCATTTGGAAATCATGAAATTGATATACATTTTTTCACAGTTGTTTGATTCTTCTCCAACAATATTTAAATATTGTTTATCTCTGTAACAGGGTTGAAAGGTTGAGCATGACGATGTCAATCTCACAGCAACAAAAATGAAATACGGTTAAAAATGTATGCTAATTGTTACGACCCTACAGTTGAGCTCGTAGGGGAAGAGGGAAGTAACATAAAACCAAGGATGTAATAATGGTAAATTAGATGGCCTTTTTAATTAACTAGGCAAAAGGGGTAACAGAATGTACAAAACTCACGAGTTAAACAGAAACACAGGGGAAACACAATACAACTAAGTCAAAGTACAAAGACAGAGCCACACAGGCAATCTTATAATTACTATTGCTTTGGCACACACAGTAACACGTTCTCTCAGAACGGTGGCAGACAAGACACTAACTCAAGCCGCCCCGCACAGAAGGAGCAGGCTGGCTTTGAGGGCTGGGGCTGATTAACGGCAGCGGTGGATTGGCCAGGCGTGGAAAGCGCGACCCAATCTCCGAACGGAAGGCAGAACTGGGAGGCAGCGTGCGTAGCCGGTGCACCATGCAGCGGGGCGGAGCCTGAGCAGAACAGCAGCACAACACAGGAGGGAGGGAAGCGGGTGTACGACGCGGCCCAGCGCCAGCGGCCGTAACACTCCCCCCCTTAAAATACAAGCCATTGTATCAAAGTAAAATCAGAGCAAATTTGTGAATTACTCACCCGAACACAGAATCACAGACCTTTGCCTCTCTCGTGGCGAATCCCTCAAAGGAACACACAGATCAAGGCCGCGAACTGAAACTTGCAGCGCGAGAGCCAAACGCTCTCCATGGTGCTGAAAGCCGCTCGCCTGACCGAAGCCTGGTGGCCCTAGCCTTGTGCTTCCGTACAGAAGTGGCGGGTGGAGTAATTCACAAATTTGCTCTGTGAATTTGCTCTGAACTGAAGGAGGCAAGGGACCAAGGAGAGGAGGCAAGGGACCAGGGAGAGGAGGCAAGGGACCAGGGAGAGGAGGCAAGGAAACGACCAAGGAACTCCAGTGACAAAGAAACGGCACCAGCCAAAAGGAGAGCGGTGCTGGAGGAGATCTGGAGACTTCATGAGCAGCTACAGAAGAAGGAGGAGGAGCTACAGAAGAAGCAGGAGGAGCTACAGAAGAGGAAGGAGGATCTACAGAAGAAGCAGGAGGAGTAAAGTGCGGCGGTACTCGTGGTTTCACTTGACTGGCGGGCAGACTACAACCGCACTGTTCTGGAGGACGGGTGTGCGCCACAGCACAACCCGTGGGCATCTGACGATCAGAGGCACACACAAGCGGGGACAGAACCGCATCCAACAGGGGAGGAAACACCATGCCCCCTGCCAAATCATTACATAAAATCATGTCTACATTTTCAATGGGTAGCGCAGGGACAACAGCTAACGGAAACTTTCCTGTAACGAGGTTTGACTGGACATGAACAGAGTGAACGGGCCGCGGGCGGTAGCCCATCTCAACTCCCCGTAACACACTCCTGTAACCACAGTAAGAGCGGTATGAAAACGGGAGAGCACTGGCCAAAATTAAGCTCTGGGAACCGCCAGTGTCTCGCAGGATACGGATGGGACGTTGATCTGGTGCTTCGCCATTCAGTGATACTAGGCCCTGTGATACGAATGGCTCAAAACAGGAGCCGTGGTTTTGGACAGTATTGGGTCTTGACTTATGACTTACAGATTGAATTAACCCAATGCTCTGAACGTTTGGAGCTGAACACTCTTCCTTTTGTCTGAGAGTAGGGCAGTCTGCGATTACGTGTCCGGGCTCGCGGCAGTAGAAGCCGACTGTCCCTTGTGGAGGTTCCAGGAGAGCGTGGACGATCAGGCTGCACAGACACACGTGTCTCATTAACAGAAGACGACGAAAAGTTCTTATGAGTCAACACAAACTCATCCGCTAACACTAAAGCCTCAGAAATAGTTTTAACCTTTTGCTCATTCAAATACACAACCACACGCGCAGGCAGGTTGTTCTTAAAGTCCTCTAACAACATTAATTCACGCAAAGAATCGCAATCTTGGGCCTTCGCAGAGGCACACCATTTGTCAAACAGATTTCCTTTTTCCCGTGCGAACTCAACACACGTTTGACTCGTGGCTTTACTGAGATTTCTAAAAGACTGTCTGTAGGCCTCAGGCACTAATTCATACGCGCGTAAGACTGCTCTCTTGACTGCATCATAATGCAGGCTCTCAGCAAGAGGCAACGCAGCGATTATCTCTTGTGCTTTACCGTACACTTTACACTGCACAAGGATAGGCCAAACTTCACGAGGCCAATTTAACGCCATCGCGATTCTCTCAAAAGCAGAAAAATACGAATCAACCTCACTCTCCCTAAATGGAGGCACAATTTGTATCATTTTACTCACGTCAAGAGAGTCATGAACAGCTGGGGAGAGGGCTGTGGCAGGTGCAGCGAAGCCCGGGCGTTGAGTAGGACTGGGGAGGCGGCCTTCGGCCTCCAGCTCAAGGCGTCTGAGTCGCACAGCTTTGTCAGCCTCGATCTCAAGCCTCCGTATATGCAGTTCGAGCTCGGCACTGCGGTCCCGATCCTTCTGCTCGGCCTCCATCTTGATGCGTGCCAGCCGCAAAGCGCGCCGAGCACCACCAACTGAGCCGCGAGAGGAAGGAGCTGGGGAGGGCGGCCCGTAGCGAGGAGGAGTGCGCGGTGGTTCAGGCCGCGCATCGCCCTCTACAAACTCACGCTCCGCTCCGGGAGGGCCATCCGCAGGCGTCTCCGTACGTCTCGGGGTAGTCGCATGCACGATGCTCTCATCAGACCTCTCAGCCTCTGGGATCAAACGCAAGCCCCTCTCCACCAAACCATCCAGGAGCAGCACCTTGAGTTCGGCCTTGCTGCTCTGACGGGAATACAAAATCTCAAAATGATCGGCAACCTCAAATAGATCCTTCTTTTTACAGAGCTCAAGTGCTTCGGCCGAGGGATGAAGCACGAATGCCTGTAAATTGAAAGCGGTTGCCATTCTCACAATGTCCAAATACAATACAGCCTACCCCCCCACTTACCTAATAAATTTTGATTCGGCCACCTAATGCCGGGAACGTGTTCAAATCCCGGACGAGCCCCCAAATATGTTACGACCCTACAGTTGAGCTCGTAGGGGAAGAGGGAAGTAACATAAAACCAAGGATGTAATAATGGTAAATTAAATGGCCTTTTTAATTAACTAGGCAAAAGGGGTAACAGAATGTACAAAACTCACGAGTTTAAACAGAAACACAGGGAAAACACAATACAACTAAGTCAAAGTACAAAGACAGAGCCAGAGGCAATCTTATAATCACTATTGCTTTGGTACACACAGTAACACGTTCTCTCAGAACGGTGGCAGACAAGACACTAACTCAAGCCGCCCCGCACAGAAGGAGCAGGCTGGCTTTGAGGGCTGGGGCTGATTAACGGCAGCGGCGGATTGGCCAGGCGTGGAAAGTGCGACCCAATCTCCGAACGGAAGGCAGAACTGGGAGGCAGCGTGCGTAGCCGGTGCACCATGCAGCGGGGCGGAGCCTGAGCAGAACAGCAGCACAACACAGGAGGGAGGGAAGCGGGTGTACGACGCGGCCCAGCGCCAGCGGCCGTAACACTAATAATAACCTCTCTTCACAGCATGACCTTGAAAAGACTGGAGAAAGTAACTTTGTGAAGGTTGAGTATGTTGGACCGAACAATTATTTTCAAAAAGAGTGGAAAATGCCACGCCATTACGGAGTTGAACAAACTTGGGGGACACGATCACAAAGTACCATTTCATGAAAAAAAACATGAATTCTTTTCAGTTTTCTTTTATTTTAGTTAGAGCAGACAGGTAAATTATTGTATTAGCAGAAAAAACTTGGTTAATGGCAATTCATATATGTTTTAGATTGAATGAAAAAGTAGCTTTGGTCACTGGGGACATGCATTTTCCTCTGCCATCTGATACTCAGCGACTCATAAACATTTGAATAATGTATTTTTTTCAAATATTTTCTTGTGTTCTATGGTTAAAATTCATTTTATTGGTAACTTTATTTTTTAATGTTTGCGTTAAACCTCTGGGACACAATAGAGTTGTGATATATTTAGTATTCACTTGTGTTGTGTTGTCTGCTGCTCATTCTCCTCACACAATATGTATGATGTGACATGGCATGATTTTGATATCTTAACTCAACAGTGAATACAAAAAGAGCCCAAAGAACATTAAAGGGTGAGATTAAGTTATCAAGAGAGCCCTCTCTCTCCCACACAGTGAGTTGCAAAAGTCACATAAATGTCATTCCCAAAGGCAGGAGAAAAGACCTCGTGGACAAACGACCGCTATCAAACCGGATGACGTGGGGAGCTGCGTCACTTGGCACCCACGTTCGCACACAGGGGCGGGGGTCCGTTTGCAGATGGCTTCCCTCTGTCCCGGCCGTTAAGCTTTATACGGAGTGATTAATGTCCCCCGTTATCACCATGACGATGGGAGATGCTGCAGCGGTGAACTTGGATTAGCTTCATTGCTTTTGTCATTATAAAAAAGAGTGGAGTAGTGTAGTGCCAGGCAAATGTCAAGAAAAGCTCAATTCTCTTTCTTTATTCTCTCTTTCTTTTTTCACACACCCCCTCCACAGCACACACTCATCTCCACGCCCCCGAAATCAATCAGCTTCAACTGAAATGCAGATGCGAAGAGCGGTTGTGTGACTCAGTGGGGGCAGGAGACCTAGATCAATGCCCTATTAGTTAAAATTATAAAAAAACGGAGTAAGTGATTGAGTTAATGCCAAACCAAGTAACATAAATGTGGTCTGGACGATAGTTGGACGTTTGTCTCGTGTATCTATCATATAATAAGATCAATTATGTCCTGTTCTTCTGGGGCTGTCAGGGTTAATTCCAGGCAGTACTTTATACCAACCATCATCAACAGAGACTACCTCCTAAGGAACATTAGGACTTATTTATGTATTTGTGGTGTTTTGGTACTTGTTTAGGATTAGATAATTGGATGATTCTTGTGGGAAAGCCACCTGATTGTCTCCTAAATATGATGGGAATGTGTCATGTTATTGTCTGGGGCTGTTAGGGTTGATGCTAGATAGTACTTTATACCACCCATCATCAACGAAGACTACCTTATACTTGAGATATTGAGTTATTTGTGTATGTGGGGTGTGGTTTAGACCTGGTGAATGTCTTATATTTTACGCTTTGGGTATTTAGGGCATGGATTTAGATTTAGATAATCAGACAATTCTTGTGGGAAAACCATCTTATTGTCTCCTAAATATGTTTGGAATCTGTCAAGTTCTTGTTTGGGGCTGTTGGGGTTAATGCATCAACAGAGACTACCTCCTAATTAGGAGTTGCTTATGCATTTTTGGTGTGGTATAGTAAAGTAGTAAAGACCAAATCTTTGCTACTGGGGGATTGTTTTATATTTTAGGTTTAGGGGGTTCTTGGTTTCTCTTTTTGTGGGAGGGGGCGGGATTGGGAGGGTGAGGGTTGGCCTTACTGATCTTACGTCAGCTGCCACATGTAAATCTCATCGTCCTCCTCTTCATCTGGCATGCCAAACCACAGTTTATCTCCAGACTTGGTTAAATTACCGGTCTTTCTGAATAACACGATCCCAGGCGGCTGTGGTTTTTGAAGGCTCTCTTCTGCTTCAGTGTTTTCAGTTTGGACTTGAGCCTCCAGAGACTCTTCCTTCTCTTCTTCTGGTCTCCAGTTTGTTCCAAATTCCAAAGAACCATCATAGGACTCCTCAGACAATGTCAATGATCTGATATTGGAAGAGAAGATTACTGATTCTTTAGATGCGTTCTTTCTCCGCCTGTTTTGCCTTTTCTTTGTATGAGTTTGGATCTCGGCTTGCACCTTCTCTTTTTCTGGTCTCCAGCTTGTTCCAAATTCCAAAGGACCATCAAAGGACTCCTCAGACAATGTCAATGGTCTGATATTGGAAGAGAAGATCACTGGTTCGTTGGATACTTTCTTTCTCCACCTGTTTTGCTTTTTCTTCATATGAGTTTGGATCTCGGCTTGCACCTTCTCTTCTTCTGGTCTCCAGCTTGTTCCACATTCCAAAGGACCATCATAGGACTTCTCAGACAATGTCAATGGTCTAATATTGGAAGAGAAGATCACTGGTTCTTTAGAGGCTTTCTTTCTCTGCCTGTTTCGAATTTTCTTCGCACAAGTTTGGATCTCGGCTTGCACCTTCTCTTCTTCAGCTGGAGCTTGAATTTCTGCCTCAACATTTAACGTTTCTTGAGTATCACCCGAATTATGGCTCTTTTCTGGCTCTTCCATCTTGGCATTACGACGTTCAACCACACATTTTGGAAGGCGCCTTGGTTTCCTCTGCTCTTTTGGAGGCTGCGAAGGATAAACCATTATCTCTGACTTTGGTTCGTACCATTTCACTTCCACAGCTTGTTTTTGCCGGTCCTCAAGAGCTGAAACAGGTTTGGAATCAGTTTGAGCCTGATTTGCATGTTCATACTCTTTTACCTCCTCAACACAAGGTCTATCTTGCTGTGTTCTGACTTTCGCAAAGTGTCCTGGGGCTTGCTGGGACCTGCTTTGCTCAACAGATCTCCCCACGTTAGCGTTGTACACTTCAGCGCCTTGTCTTACATGTCTCTGAGTTTTCCTTTGAGATGTCTTTTGATTAAGTTCCACATTTTCAGTAGTGCAATGAGGCCTTCTCCCTGATTTGGGGAGTCTTGCGTTCTTGGGCTTTGAGTTGGAAGGACGATCCTGATGAGGTATTGGGGCCTGTTCCACTTTTTCCTCCTTCCGTTTGCTGTGCCGTTTTACAACTTCCCATCCCTCATTGTTGAACTCGCCGCGACCCTCTGTGAATGGGTGCATTGAGGTTGGGGCTGGGGTGACTGGAGATTGGGTGTCTGGAGATTGTGTCTTTGATCCTGTCTCAAAGCTTGACTCCGACATATTTTGAGGAACCTCCAACTTGTTCGAACTTTGGACATTTGCCTCGATCGGCTTAAAAATGTTCTGTGTTCTCACGTAAAAGTTGGATATTTTTTGATTCCTCCTCTTTCTAGAGTTTTTGGCCATTTCTTACTATTCTATACGACTCTTAACTAGTGTGTATGAGAATATATAGATGGTGTCTCTCTCTGTCTGTCTCTCTCTCTTTTTCTCTAAGTGTCTGTTGGACCTGGTTGATTGCTTAACTGTCATTCTTAGCTCTGCACCCAAGCTTGGATAGGGGACTTCCGGAACATAGTGATGACATTATGACATTCCGGTTGTTATGACAACTGCTGTCATGGCAACAGTGTAAATGTATGGGAAACTTAACTGAAAAACGGTGATATCTCAAGGGAAATTATATGTTTGGTTTTTTTTCAGATGCACACCAGTCTTCATCAGAGCAAACGGTGTTGTTGGAAGCTTCAATGTTCTCATAGCTTTTGATTTAACTTGAATTCCCGTAAACCACAAATAAAAATGTGAAACTACCGTCAATATTATTCTAGCGTATTGTCCAATTATGACATTTTCTCCAATTTTTCTATAAATAAGTACAGATCTTAGTCATTCAAGGAGGTCCTGGGTTGGGATCCTGGTCTAACAGGATTGACTATAGACAAAATAAGACTCCGCCAATAAATCCTCAGCCAAAAAGAAAAGAACCCAATACGCAAAAATTATGGATTTTATAAAATGTAATCCAAAATGTAACAAAATCCAGAGAAAACAACACAAACAGTAACTAAACTGTTTGTTTAGTTAAAGACAAGAACTAAAACAGACGTGGAATGACAATGACGGAACAGGGAGTGAAGGAACACACAGGGTTAAATACAGACTAGACTAAGGAGACACAGGTGAGACACGTGAGGGCGGGGCAGGTCACTAGAAACAGGAAGTAGAACTAAAGATACAGGGGCAGCAAATTACAAAATAAAACAGGCATTAAACCTAAACCGCGAGGCCCTCTGTCCAAAGAGTCAAATAGTG